AAACGTTCAGTTCGTTATCCTACCATCATCTCCCCATCTGTTGACGCTGCCCATGGTAGATAACCAGTTATCTCCTGTTACCTTGCTTCTTTTTGAATTTCGGCATCACACTGCTAAACATCGCGCCAAGGTTCCTGGTGTCCTCTCTTTTATTGACAGTGTTGTTGAGGAAAATGTGAATCATTTCACTTATATTCCTCTTTCTCCAGTTTGGCTCGGAATCCACAATACTCATATCATCGAAGACAAACTGATGCCCCGTACTAAAATGATGGGCAGCCACTGCTGTCTTCACCTCTTTTGTGTAATTCTGAGGGGCACAGGCGTTCTTATGCTGTCTGACCCTCGCTCCCAGCAGCTGTCTTGTCTGCCCAATGTAAAACCTAGTACATTCGCTGGGAATCTTATAGATCACCTATGATCTGCTATCACACAGAACGATATAAATTAAGACCCGTCGTGAGCTGCATAAAAGCTCCGAGCTATAAAGTAGCCCGGTTCTTACACAGGCTGCTTTCAAAAGTGCATCAGACTTCCCAGTTCAACATTAGGAACTCGCAGGAATTCGTGAGCTTCGCGAAAGTTGTCAGAATACCGGACGGTTATGTCTTGGTGTCGCTGGACGTCGTGTCACTCTTCACGAACATCCCGAAGACTCCAATAATAGACATTGTCCAGCAGCATTCGGATGAATGGGTAGGACTCATTCCGGTCTCAAAAGATATCGTCATCGAACTGATAAAGTTCTGTTTTGAGGCTAGTTATTTCTCGTTCAATCAGGAGATATACCGTCAGCTGGACGGTAGTAATATGGGCAATCCAGCTAGCCCAGTTCTTGCGAACTTGGTGATGGAGCACGTGATCTCGGAGGTGCTGGAGGAGTTATTTTTTCAAATACTTTTGATTAAGGTCTATGTTGATGACACGATACTGACCGTCCCAAAAGATTAGATAGACCGGGTGAAAGACAGTTTCAACTCGATTCACAAGAAGATCCAATTTACAGTGGAAGAAGAAGTAAAGAATACTATTTGCTTTCTCGACCTGAAGGTTCACTGAGGCGAAGATGGATATCTGAAAACCAATTGGTCAGATATTTGAGACACCATTGGTCATCAGATATTCGAGACACCTTCAGTCTCCACATTGTTTTCCGACCGCCGTGTGCTTGGAATAATCTTGAGACTCAGGACGTTAGAACCAACAAATAGCTTACACATAATCATTATGAAAAATTGTGAAAAACTGGTGAATATGATTATAATGATATTGAAAACACTTTCAGTAGTTATTTGACAAATGTCTGTGTTAATCAATAATTACAATTGTTCAAACATTCAGAATTTCTACATCAAAGATTGTTTCCATCTGAGCGTCTACCAGAACATCAAGAAACCTGACAAGAAAATCTGCTGTGCTTAAGCCTATGAAAACCTATGGATTAAAAAAGTGGTTCGAAAGCAATTAACAACCCATTGGGACTGTCGTAAGTGATTTCAATCGGATTTTTGACGGAAATTATGTGGAGGAATTTTTTTTATTGTATCATTATCTATTATGTATTATCTTTTATTCTCAATGTTTTGATTGCATCATCATTTACTCAGTAGCATCATTTTCCAATTTTTTTCCAAATATATTTCATATGGAGTTTTCATATGGAGCATTCTTTTCTTTCAATAAATGAAATATTGGGCTTGTGATTTATTCATTCGTCTCTACTTTTTTGTGAAAACAATTTCAGATGGTGATCCCTTTCGAACAACATTGCATTGTTGTGATCTCTTCAAAGTGAAATATACAGTTTGTTTTACTCCACATTGCGAAATCGTCCCAGTCGCATATATTTATACCATTAACTTCAGTCGTTTATTCCGCATCGATTTCACAGCTGCGAGATCGTTGCCTGTGCTCCCAGCTGAACAACACTCACGTGCCTTCATGTAAACATTCAACCGAATGTTTCAAATTATACATAGTTGGACATACGACTGTCGTATAAAGAATCAAATCAATTTTTTGCTTTTGAATTCTCATTACATAAAATGAAAATTCAAAATTCATAAACTCTTCAAGGATAAATCGCGCGTACTTTGGGGGATGTGAACTTTTGCTCACACGATGTGCATGTACCCGTTAATACACATACCCTTTAGGTCACAGGTAATTCTTTGAGATAAAATTTCGATTCCTATGATGTCAAATCGAATTTCGTGGGATTCGATTTGACATCGATTCGACTCTGCAACGGCCCGCCACCAAGCACTATGAAGGTCGTTCGTTCAATCGTGATTGTTTATATAAGATGTACGTGTCCACTGATAATTGGAGTCGTGCAACGCCCTCCAACTCAACAAGGATCATTCATATTGTGGCTCCGTAGTCCCCTCTCCCACCTATATTGCAAGACGTAACCATCTGATATCCGCACCCCACTTCCATCATGCCCCCCCCCCCCGACAGCGCCATCACCCAGCGCGTTTTTGGGTTTCTCTCCCACCATTCCCCTCCCCCAGCAGTGCCAACTTACAGCGCGTTTTCGAGTTCCATGTCCAGAACTTGTACTGTTCACACTGCCCTTTGCATGAAAATTTCACTCTCCATTCAATTGATCCATATTGTCAATTCAATCCATGAGTAACTTGTAGGCAAATGTATTTTTGTGGTTAGTTTAAGTGGGAAATTTAAATAGATTTTCATCGAAAATTTTGCAGTGCAAGTCAATGTATAAATAGATTGGCAAGAATTATGTAACTGACATTCTGTAGATGAATAAATGCAAAAAAGAAAGTCATAGAAACAATTCGTTTTTTGAGAAAAAAAAGAGTGAATTTGATTTTAACAAACCCAATTAGAAAATTACGAAATTAATTGTTTCCTTATTTTGCAAAAAAATTTAAAATCTTCCTAAAAAAAAAACAAATATTTTCGAAACAAAATTTGTAAAGGAAAATTTTTGTTTGATTACTGCTGAAAATTAGGAAGAATCATTTGTGGAAAATTTGAACCTTTCAGGGAGAATTGAGGAAGAATGAAACGATGAATGAAAGTAAGCTGAGTTAGGGAATATTTGTGCATGTCCACAATGGATGAAAATTTTTATGGATGTCCATATCGCACAATTTATAAAATAAAAAATCCGTAACAGCAGGACCAACGTCCTTGGTGCGAAGTTTGGAAATCACTATCTAATATTAATTTAATCTTCCATGTTCTGATTCGCGTTGAGGACGTTGGTCCTGCCTCCGATTGCACCTCCATTGATCACAGGACAACTGACCACAACAATTGATCACAGGGCAAATGATCCCAGGACAACTAATCACATGGACAAGTCACCACAAATCTTTCTATCACAAGCTGTTTTGATCAAGGCTACTTAATCAGCTGTTTTGAACACTGTTTTGATCACTTTGCAGTCGTCAATGATGAGCCCAGGACCAATAATATGATGGAAGGTTGGCATAATGCATTTAATCAACGTGTTGGTAGAAATCATGAGCAGTTGGGCAAATTTATCAATGCTTTGAATGTCGAGCAAGCGTCGTCTGAAGTTATTTGAGAGCAATTTATTGCTGGGCGTCTCATTTCATCAAGAAAGAGGAAGAAACACTGTGATTACGATGCTCGTCTCTATGCGGTGGTAGTCGACGCTTGCTCGACTTTCAAAGCATTGATAAATCTGCCCAACTGCTCATGATTTCTACCAACACGTTGATGGAAAGCATTATGTCAACCTTTCATCATATTATTGGTCCTGGGCTCACCATTGACGACTGCATAGTGATCAAAACAGTATTCAAAACAGCTGATCAAAACACCCGTGATCAAAACACTATGAACATCTATTACAATTTTCTGACTTGGTTTATTTTCATTGATTAGAGAAGGGTAGGGCAAAACGAATCGGGGGGCAAAACGGACCCCTGACAGAAAATTGGTAATTTTTGTGTTTTTTTTCTTTCCTTCAAGTCAGAGACACTGAATGTGTTGAATTAAAAGTGAGTTTCTTGGATCGTTACCGTCACCGGGATTTTATAGACAGTAAGTGTCATTGAACCGCGATTTGGTCACATTTGCTAATCACCTCAAACTACAAATGACTTCGAATTTGCTCCATTCGGAACCAAAAACACAAATTATCAATTTTCTGTCAGTGATCCGTTTTGCCCTAGGGGTCTGTTTTTCCCTGCGGTCTGTTTTGTCCCACCCTCCCCTATTCTTCAATTTTCCATGAAAATTCCAGCTTCAAGAAAAATTCTACATCGTTTCCAGGTTTTTCCAAATTTCCTTGGCACAGTGTTTTTTACAACTATATAGTATGTCACATGGTCGATAAAAAGATTTTGTGACGAATGGAACTTCATAATACGAGTCGAAGGTGATTTTGAGAGGAATGGAAATTTACAGTCATATGAGTCAAGAAAATACATCTATTGACGTATGATATATTTTTTTTATCGTTATTTTACATCGCTTCGACCCAGTTAGGGTATACTGCGATGATGATCAAGACTTTAAATGGTTAGATCGCACCATTCTACCCGGCCGGGATTTGAACTCGGAACCTTTCGCATGTGAGGCAACGAACTTACCCACTGCGCCAAGCCACCGTGCCGACCTATGATATACAATCTTTCATGTCTCAAGAATCGAAAATCATGTTCTAACTGAACGAAGTGAGTCAGAAGGCTTTAAATTCGCCGCTCATCGCTCCTAGAGGCATGCAATTTTTTTTTGCCACGGCGGGCGGAAAGGATACATTTTCTATGAAAATATACCTTTCCACCTACGCCGTGACGAAAAATAACGTTCTCACCACCGGAGGTAAAATAAAGGACCCTTACCCACGTGCTTACCACCCTCGCCTTCAGCTCAAGTAGTAATTTTGCACGTGGGCACGACTCCTTTATTTTCCCTCCCTTGGTGGGAAATATAACATTTTTTATTTTTTAGAAAGACATTTTCATCTATGAATAAATAGAATCCTTCTTATTTACCGCTTCCAGTAGTTCCGGGTCTTGCAGAACCTTGCCTCTCTTTCAACTCCTTTGACCTCTCCGCTCTTTTCAACTCTGAAGCATATATTTGGGCTTCCTTCATTCCCAGATCGCTGCATAACCGAACCAAAAACTTCAAACACTCAATATTTTCTGGAAACTTGCGGTGGATAGCTTGATACTCTTCGAGGGCTTTGTGGAATTCTCCTTTCCTTCTTAGACAAGTTGCAACGAGTAATCGCCAACGAGGTTGTTGCGGCGCAAGTTCTACTGCTCTGCCAAAATAAGGCAGAGCTTTTTCAGCCACCTTGTAGAAATGAAATTGAAGAATTGTGAATGATAGAATAATAAACTAAGATGAGTAGAGAAAAAACCTGCAGATCATTTGGCAAATATCACTTGAATGAGTGCTGGGGCTGATTCCGTAAGAAAATCTTGGGTCAGAAATTAACTTATCAATTAAAATGATTTCTTCATCAATCGATCCTCCCAGAACTACCGATTGTTTGAATATCGACCCCTGACATGCACACTTTGTCCATGGACTCGGTCTCATTTTTTTCTTTCAATAAATTGTGGTTGCTACGAAATCATTACCTATCTCAAAGAACCTTATACATCTTTCAATTTTACTCCCAGAGATAGATCTTGAGCCATGAATTGCAGCTGGATTTATTGTAATGTTCTAATAAAAATATTACACGAAATTTCTGATTGGAAGTTCTTATTATTTTACGGCAACAATATAATATAACTGTCGAGGTACTTTATGTTTTTATTGAATTTTTAAATCAATTTGCAGTGCTTGATGAGAATTTGGTTAACATGTTGAGGTTATGGCAAGTTGTATCGTAATCCGATCGATTTATTTCAATACTTTATTTGTTTTATTTGTATATGTTTATGAAATTGGTAGTATTTTTTTTCGTCTTGACGTACCCGGAGGGCACAAAGTAGTGGCTTTGCACCTACGCCAGGGCGAAAAATACGGTTCTAACCAGAAAAGGTTAAATAAAGAACCCTTACGTAGGTGCTCCCTCCTACTGCTAATAACACAATCACAATAATATTCTATGACACCATAAGATGTTGAACGCTGTATAAACCCCCGTCTTCTGTGAAAAATGATTGTCGTATGAAGGACGGCGCAGTTCGATATGGAACATTCCATGTCAACTCGGCCACCTCGGATTTTTTTTTGTCTGGAAAAAACCATCTGATAGATGCATTTTAAACTACTATATATAGATAATATCATACCATTCGTGCCAAATTTCATTGCCCTATGATTTTTTGTTCCTGAGATAATGATGACAAAACTTGGAATTTGCAAAAACTCATAATTTGTAAACGGCGCATCCGATTCAAACGAATAAAAAAACAATTTTTTTTTTCGTACTTTAAGAGAAAAAATATTCTCGTGCAGTGAATCAGCTTCTACACTGATTTTTCAAGGAATTTGTACGTTTTTATTCGTTTTTGCCTAGAGGGCCTTCGGATATTCGATGGGAATATTTTTTTTCTGATAGAAGACGTCCATATATGATGTGAAAAAAATACTCCATCATGGAAGAAATGACAATTGTGTCGAAAAAAACTTTTTTTTTTTTGAAATTTTTGTGTTTTTTAGCCTTATAGGGGAACTGCCTTGTTTTTACCAAGCAATTGATGTTCCAATCAATACTTTTGGTTAATTTATCACAGAAAAGAAATACACTACCGTAAAAGAAAGAAACGGTGCTCCGAAGAAAATTGTTTTTTACTGAAATTTTTGCGTTTTTTCAATAGTCTTATAATATTCAACAATAACAATTACTCTGGAATAACGTTTTTCAATTGTTCGAAGGGTCACGCAATGGGCAATATCAGAAATGTTCTTTTCAGCACTATCAAGTAGAAAAAAATTGGAAAAATTGATTGAAAATGTTTCTTCCAATGGCAATATATCTACGACACGAAACAATAGATACAAATTAAAAATAAAGTAACATCAGAGTGAGGAAATCTAATTCTAATCATAATGCAGTCAACAGTGGATCAGGCAATGAATTCACGTATTAGAGAAATTAAGCTCAAATTCCAGTCAGTGGTATGAGAAGATCGTATCACTCAGACTTGAAACAAAAGATGGATAAAAAAATGAATCTATCGATCGATTTAACTTTATCATACTGTAAGCTATTAGTTCTGAGAGATGTCTCGAATGCTTCATCGACGTTTCATTACCGTGCTTATTGTTGACTGTGTTAATTAAATGCCTCATTTATCAGTAAAATTTGATCATTAAGCTAAATTAATGAGCCATCATTGTGTATACTCATCCCCGTTTTCTCATCTTCATTTCTGAATTGAGGTAAGAAATTTCAGACATTCATGATAGAGATATTTCCAGGCGATTCGTGGAATCAATTTGTTTGTATTCAGTAGGATGCCTTGTAGTGATAGATGTGCAAATCCGATGCGAGGCCCAGGTGAAAAAGGCCACTATAGAACCAATTTACGTCCGATTTCACGGGAAATACACCTGAAGTTCCTCTTCCTACCATCGACTGCAAAAATTTGCGGCAAATGCCGAATAAAAGTGCCAACGTATGTCGTACCATCGTTTCCTTCCACTTGCACTCTGAAGAATCAAAATCTCCAAGAAGATATCTCTTCCCCAGAGGTATCAAAGACTGAAGCAGAATTTGATGATTCCACCTCGCATATCATTGACTGTTCATTGAGATCAGGCTGATCTTTTCATCTTGATGATACAAGCGTTTCAAGTCACGATGGATCACATGATTCAGGTGGATTCTTCGATTTAAATATGGATGAGGATTCAAATAGTGACCACATTGATGATGATCCACCACCAACGAAACGGTGGAGAACGGTATCGTTCTCCCAGAGAACTGGAATTAGAGGAAATGTTGAATGATTTGAAGGAAAAGTTCAACGATTTTTTGGACTCGTACGGTGAGCGCCTGCAAATTCTAACCATTCTTCCTCGATTATGGAGTGCCCGAAAAATAGCGCTCGAATTTGGTGTTTCGAGATACATGGCGGAGAAGGCAAAAAAGTTGAGAGAATTTAAGGAAGTATTTGCTTCACCAACTGCAAGGACAGGTCATCCATTACCAGACGAAACTATTCAAAAGGTGCCAAGTTTTTATCTACAAAATAGTCGGGTTATGACAGGGATGAAAGATAAGATATCGATTAAAATTAATGGAGAGAAAAGAGTAGAAGAGAAGCAAATGGTACTCAAAAATTTGAAAGATCTCCATCGAGAGTACAAAGCCGATCACTCAGAGGCTGTAGTTGATTTCCGTAAGTTCGCAGAATTAAGACCTGAGCAATGTATATTAGCGGGAGCGAGTGGCACACATGTGGTATGTGTTTGCACGTACCACCAAAATTATAAACTGATGTTAGATACTATCAATCTCCGGGTTCTAACGAAGGTTTTATCATGCCCAATGACAGATTACAAAGATTGTCTCAGCAGAATCATGTGTTAAAATCCCACGCCGGCCTGTCATTTGGATGAATGTAAGAATTTTCCTGGACTTGACCAATTGCCACGTGAGCTAAAACGACTCCTCTCCAAAACTGTGATTGAAAATATCGAGTTCCGAGTGTGGCAAATTACTGACAGGTGCACCTTGCAAACACAGATACTTCCGGTGAACGAATTCGTTGATGTACCTGTTGAACGGTTGAAAGTACTGAAGCCCCACCACTTCATCACTCTGGAGCAATCATTTTTTGTGAAGCAACGAAGAGAAAATTTGGATAAAGGAGAAGTGCTTGCCCACTGTGATTTTGCTGAGAATTATTGTTTTGTTGCTCAAGATGCTGCTCAATCTTTTCATTACAATAATGATCAGTGTACAGTCCATCCGGTGGTATATTCCTACCGTTAAGATGATGATATTCAACATCAGAGTTTAGTTATCTTATCAGACAGTCTACTCCACGATACTGCTGCTGTTTATTTGGTACAGAAAATTCTAATCGAGCATGTAAAGATAAATTGTGATGATGTTCAAAAAATGATTTATGTAACAGACGGCGGTGCTCAGCATTACAAAAATCGTTACCAAATCGCTAAACTCTTGAATCATAAGGCTAATTTCGGCATCGACGCAGAGGTTCATTTTCACGCAACCGCGCACGGCAAAGGGGCATCCGATGGGGTCGGAGCAGTTTTGAAAAGAGAAGCTAGACGCAAAAACCTGCAAACAGTTGATGGTGAACCAATGCTCACGCCAAATGCTCTGTTCCAATGGGCTAAGAATCATTTCACTGGGATTGACGTTTTTTTATTTACCAAAGACGAGCACGATAAGATTAAAGCAAAATTGAAATATAGATTCCATAAAGCTGAAGGAATTCCTGCTATTCAGAAGAATCATTGTTTCATTCCACAACTAGGGGGTCAATTGGTGCTAAAGCGCTATTCTGCCTCAGCCAATGAGGAGGTTTTTTCGAAGAAAACTCAGAGGAAACAACGTTGAGGATTCCTGTCTTATGTTATAGGTGTGTAGTCACCGAAAGAGTCATTTTCAATCAATTTTCCCAATTTTTTCTTACTTGATAGTGCTAAAAAGACCATTTCTGAGATTGCCCATGGCGTGACCCTTCGAACAATTGAAAAAAGTTATTCTAGAGTGAGTGTTATTGTTGAATATTATAAAAATGTTGAAAAAACGCAAAAATTTCAGAGAAGACAATTTTCTCCGGCGCACCGTTTCTCTCTTCTATGGTAGTGTATTTCTTTACTATGATATATTAACCAAAAGTATTGATTGGAACAACAACTTCTTGGTAAAAACTAGGGAGCTCCCCTAGAAGGCGAAAAAACACAAAAATATTAGAAAAAAAATTTTTTTTGATTGACATTGATTGACATGTCTCAAATCAAGAAGAAAATGAAGCAGTACCTAATACTTCATCACACATAAACGAGAGTGATAAACTCTCTTCTACCAAGAAACGGACTCGTGATGAGCATAGGCGAGGAAGAAATGGACAAAGACGACATCGCCAGCTGCATCAACTACGTCGATGGAGAAAGTTTAAGAAACAAAAACAGATTCTCGTAATTCTCTGTGAATAATCATACACATAAATATGTTTTTGTTCTTTATTGAAAATTTTCATATTATACAATAGACAAATTGATATCTATAATTATTGTACACGTCTAATTCAATTTTTTCACACCTCCACTAATTGGATTATACTCAATAATACGATCATGCAGAATTAAACAGTAGGCTGCCGTTTGTGCAGGAA